TAATTTGTTGTAGAAATAAATGTAAAAAACTTATAATTTATTGAGGATTGTTGCAAACTTGTTTCAATTTCCAAAAGTGAACAGCTTAATCTTTTAATGCATCTAAATTCTCATTTACAGAGATTAGCTTGGACGAATAATTCGAGTATTTTGGTAACTTAGCAAAATCTTTTTTCTTTTGGTCATGGTACTTACAGGCACTTTTTTTGCAATGTAGTTTCCATAACTGTGGCTTCCGCATGATGAATCCACACATTTGAACTCTCAGTCATTTAAGTTTTACTTCAACCCAATCCCCCAATCTTCATTATTGCCTTGCAACTCCTTTCTACCCATTCATCTCTCCAAAAGCTCACTCTAGTCCCTGATCCCACTCTCCACTCAATGCACTTAAAGAATTTCCCCCTCTCATACAGGTTCTCTTCCACAAACCAAGCCCAAGTGGGCCCTTCGAGGTTTTAGAGAACCAACCATGACCATCCACTCTGTGCCTTGCCTCTAATCCTCCTCTAAGCAGTCCCTTCTCCATCATGAATCTCCATAACCACTTACCTTGGAGGGCTTTATTTAACACTGACAATGATCGCAAGCCCAAACCACCCCTCCTTAGTGGTTGTTTCACCCTGTCCCAAGCCACCAAGTGATATTATCCCTTGTCTGCTGCATTGCCCCACAGAAGTTACATTGGATTCTCTCTAGTCTTTTAGCCACATTTTTTTTTTGGAGATAATAGTCTTTTAGCCACATTGGAAGACATTGTTGACAGGGACATCATATGTATAGAGATACTGTTATTTTTTTAAAAAATATGTGTAGGAATATTGGCAAGTGAGCCCAGCCCTCCTTACTGGCAACTGTGAATTCTAAATTTCATCAATTTTTATGGAATTTGGAATGCATATTTTCATTTCACTTTGAATTTCCTGTTAGATTAATTTTTATTATTTTAGATAATATTTTCACAATCCTTTAGTTGAAATAAGTGTAGATTTCCAAATGAATCCCATGAAAATTCTATAACCTAAGACTTTTTCACATTAAGAACTAGACTCTGTAAAGACATCTTATGTTGCTTATAAGAGAATTAGAATATCTCTTGTATCGACAGAGGGTGTATTGCATTATGTAATTGGTGCTTATAAGTAGCTTTAAGCATCTTTAAAATCTACTTATTTAGTGATATAATTTGCAGGGTGCTTCTTATGTACCAATATCCAATAAGCAGTTTTAAACCTAAAAAAAAAAAAAATTCTTTATAACTTTATTTCTGCATTAAATTAAAATACTTCTTTTCCTTGAATGTTCAGTTTATTATTTACCTTTATACATTTATTATTAAAGAAATATAAAAACTACTGTTGTTCATACTGAATATCTTTATCCAAATATATATCTGCTAGTTTTTAAACCAACATTTTGGTGCTTTAACCAACTCAAAGAGCTAATAACTTAAGCGCATTTATTTCAACAATTCCAAGATTCAATGTGTATTTGAGAAAAGTACGATATTTCCTGTATTCTATACATGATCTTTTAGTTGGTGACCTAGTTTGGATGGTTTGCCAGTGGAGACTCACACTTATAAATAGGTTTAGAGCCACCTGATAAAAGCTTCCAAAAGAAAAATTTGGTTCTAGGAGCTTCTTTTGTACTCCTCGGTAAGAAAATCTGGTCAAATGGACTTTTCATTTTTTTCTTTTTTTTTTTAATAAAAAAACTCATTAATGAACACTTTGTGACTTCTTTTACTGCTAAAATGTGCTTTAAGCACCTTTGGTCGCAAAAAAAGGTCACTCCAAATTTGGGGTTGCCCCTAGGAGCCAAATGCAGGGATGCATATGGGAACTAGTGGTGACTAGATTTCAGGGAAGATTTGCTGGGTGGAAGAGGGGATTTCTCCCCAGAAGGCAGAGTCACCTGTGTCAAGAGGACTCTCTTCATCTTACCTATTTACTACATGTGCTTATTCATGATCTTTGCTAGCATGGCTAAAGGTTGAAGACTATCTAATGTTGTCTATGGGGTAATTTTAAGGAGGACAAGAGGTTTCACCTGGTGGCGTGAGACATGGTGAATCTTCCTTTCTAGTGGGATGGGCTGTGCATTAGGTTATTGATTATTTCAACAAAGGTTTTCTTGGAAAGTGGCAATTTTCCAATGAAAGTTGATTAAAACTAAACGCGGAATGGAGCTGAGGGGATGGAGTTCTAGGCAATCTACATCCCAATAGTGTTCAGATTGGCGTAAGAAAATTAACTCCTTGGAATGAATTCTTTGGGTGTCTTAGATGGAGGATATGGATAATGAGATTTTGGTTGGACGGGCTTTATAACAATGTTTCTTACTATGCACTCCTTGGCTAGGAAGAAGAAATTGGCTGAGATTTTCTTGTGACTTAAGCTCTGAGGTAGGGATGTTGGATCTAGTTAGAGACTTTAATGTTAAAACTTTTTTAGTGTCCTCTCAGTATAGTGATCCTCCAGAGGGTATTGATAAGTCAATTTGAACGGTGGCTTGACTGGATATTTTTCTGTAAAATCTTTCTATTTTCAGTTGTCAAATGTTTTCTTGGGTTTGGGAATTTCCTCTTGGAAATACTTCTCCAAGAGAGAGGATTCTCACTACATAGAATCTTAGTAAAAGGGTGAAGATCCTAGTGAAAAGGCGTTACCTATGCAAGATAGCAATTGAAATGCTGAATCACCTCTTATTATGGTTGTTCTTTCTCTTTTAGCCTCTGTTTTGCTGCTTGTGGGCTCTTGGTTGTGAGCTTGGAGATGGCAGGGTTAGTTGGTGATGAAATTTGTGCTTGGTGAGGCATTTGGAATGACAAGTGTAACAAGAAGCTTCAGTCACTTATCCCCCTTGACTACCTTTGACGGTTTTCTTTTGAAGGTACTTTCTAGGTCATTTAAAATGGGAGGAATAACAGGGCATTCAAGGGCATTAACTCTACCTTTGCTTGAGTTTAATGACTTATGGTTCTAGGTTCTTTGTTTTTTAGGTTAAGGGTTATCCTCTTATTTTGTTGAGGATATAGTTGACTTTGTTAATGTTTTGGTTGATTTGTAAAGCTCTTTGTACTTGGATTGCATCCCTTCAATGCGGTGTTAATATATCCCTTCTCCATTTCCTTTCAAAAAATAATAATCGTAACTAATTATTCAAAAAACTTAAGCTGATAAGAAAGAGTTGAATTTATTATTTATACCATAACACGCTTGATGTTGATGAGTAATGTTTGAAGTAACTTGGCTTGTGGATAGTTTAAAATAGAGAAAATTTAAGTGAGAAACAGAAGAATAGAAATAAACTAGAAGAAATTAGGGATAGAGATGAAAAAATGGTTTAAAAGATAAAAAAAAATGTGTATTAAGTACACGACGCGAAAGAAGTACCGCCCATGTACTAAATATTTACATCTTGGTTAGAACATCAATAACCTTCTCAAAATCATCCCACCCGTCAAGATCATGTTCTAGTATTAGAGACCCAAAAACATTAAACCACCTATCTCTAATTTTAGTCATATCCTCTACATATCCATCAAATGCTCGATTGTTTATATCTTTGCACACTAGCCAAAAAATAGTTAGAGAAATAAACTTTATAGTTTTCGACTTTTCACAAATTCCACTCCATGTCTAAAGTTCATCCTTAATCGTACATGCAATCACCCAGGTGATACCTAGTAGATTGTACACCATAAACTAAATATCATAAACCATTAGGCACCAAAGGAGAATATGGTTATAAGATCCAACTTCTTTCATACACAAAGAATTGACAGTGAACATCTCTTCCTTTTTCAATTTTCACACCAATTTATCCCTTGTCTTCACTCAGTTGCACATTGGACATTAGAAAGTGAACCACTTCAAATTCTTCTATCTCCCCAATCATTAAGATTTCTAGACAAATTTAGCTCACCGTCTACTATCATCCTCTCCTTTAAAACCTCCTCATCACTATATCTCTTTGGGTGATAGCATATGTTTTGGAACATGATTCATAAGAGCCCCCCCCCCACCCCACTCGTCTTTGGAAAGGGGAATGGTAGTGCGCCTCCCCACCCTGTCATGTATGCATTCCATGACCCGTTGTCTACCCGGACCAATCTTCCTCCATAATCCCATCCCATGAGACCTCACCACCTCACTA